AGGTGGGGAGGTGCTAAGCCTGGAGCTGCCGGAAAGGGAAGGTTTGGGAATACCATGCCAAGGGCACAGGAAGAGGCTGCCATGCATGACCCTGCTGGAGCCCCTGCCTTCCAGAAACGTCCGGGGAGCACATGCCATGGCAGGTGTTTGCGGGCACTTTCTGAATAATGCCTGATAAAGACCAGGGGACCCAGGGATGCTCCCTTCTCTCCTCCCGCCCCCGGGGCCGAGCAGGGCATGCCTGCTCCCACCCCATCCAGCCAGGGCAGTAGTGGCCCAGCCCCGCAGGCCCTCCCTTCTGGCTTCCCTTCTGCCTCCCACAAATGAGATGCTAATTTATGCCCCTCCACTGTCTCCTGGCAGATGCCTGGCCCAGCTCAGCCCCAGAGCTGCCTGCATGCCAAGTGCTTCATTAGCCAGGAAAGAAGGCTCTCGCCCTCCTTAATCTAATCCTCGCCAGTGACCTTCAGGAGCCAAGCACCTTCTGATGCCGGGGCCTGGGAGGGTGGGACAATCAATTATGCCTCGGCCTCCACAGCTGCTGCCGAATGGATTTCTCGCTCAGAAAAGCATGTTCAAAAAGCATCTAATGGAACGGATCATCAATTTGTTTGAATACACATTTAATCTGATTAGGGGGGCCCAGCCACCGGGGCAGCCAGTGCAAGTGAGCCCCAACACGGCCCTGGGGAACCGTGAGTGGGGTGGAGGGGCCCCGCATGGGGAAGGGGAAGGAAGGGCGTATGCCCCAAGCCCACCACCAACCAGCTTGACCCGCTGTACCTTCATCCAGAAAGTCACACAGAAAAGAAGAATGAACCATGCAGAGGCCACAAGGGCTGGGCAGATGCCTCCTGCTTTTCTACAGCCCCAGCACGGGGCACAGAGCCCGGGGCAAAGAAAATGCTCAGGAAATAAGTGAATGAACACACGAATGGCGAATGAATGGTGATGAAGCCAAGGGATGCCGATCTTGTCACTTCCAGGAGAAGAATAATTGACGACTGAATTGGGTTGAATGATGCACTGCCCTCTCCCCTGCCAAATTCATGGCCTAACTGGAACCTCAGAACGAGACCCTATTTGGAATCAGGGTGTTGTAGCTGTAATTAGTTAAGAGGAGGTCAAACGGGAGTCGGGTGGGCCCTGTGTGACTGGTGTCTTTATGCGAGAGACATGGGAACAGAAATGCAGGGAGAGGATGGCCATGTGACGGTGGAGGCGGTGCGTTGACCGCCCAGGGAAGCCACGGATTGCCAGGAGCCCCCACGAGCTGGAAGATGCAGGAAGGATTCTTGCCTCCAGCCTTCAGAGGGAGCGGGGCCCTGCCGACACCTTGGTTTCAGACTTCTGGCCCCCAGAACTGTGAGAAAATCCATTTCTGTTTGAGTCACTCAGTTTACGGTACTTTGTTACGGCAGCCCTAGGAGACAGACGCAATGCCTCACAGAGACTTGGGTCTGTCATTGCACATAAGTCAGCCTGCCAGAGAACAAAGAGCACTAACTAGGAAGTGAGTCTGGAGCCCCAAGTCCTGCCGGTCTAGACCACGACCTTCTTCAGACATGTCCGCATGTCCGCATGTCTGCCATGCCCCAGGGCCTTTGCTTATTCCATTCCCTTTCCCCAGAGAGCCCTTTCTTTCCTTCTTTGCCAGAAAAATGTAGGTGTTAAATCTGTGTTAGTTTCTGCCCTGTGTCCCCTCTAAGCTCAAATGGCCTGTCCTCTGTCACTCTTTTCCTGCTGTCCTCCTCCACATCCTTCTGACTTCTGAGGTTCTTTGCCTCCCTCACAGCATAGAGGAGGCGCATCACAGCCCCATGTGTGGTGGCACCCATGCTGCTCTTCCACTGGAAGACAGGGACAGGGGACCCCTCGCCTCTCCAGCCCCAGAGCCTGGCAGTGAGTCCGGCGTTCAGGAGGGCCCAGATCCGTGAATGCAAAAGTGGACACATAAACTTGCCGTTGAACATGGCCAGATCATCTCCCTCGTGTCGGCAGACCCTGTCGGGGGACCTGGACCTTCCCTTCCAGCTCCGGTGTTGTAAGATCTGAGTAGTGGTATGAGTTACGACCTCGCTGGGCTGGGCCCGGGGCAGGCTTACTCGGATTCAAACCTGGCTTAGCCACTCGCTAGCTGCGTGACCCCGGGGGCAGCTCCAGAGCCCCTTTGAGTCTCCGTTTCCTCACCTGGGAACTGGGCTGTGGGCAGCGGCCTCCTCCTAGGCCTCGTGAGAAGGGTAAGGGCTGAGACCAGTGCCGGGCACAAACGGCCCATCCTTAACGTTTGCTCTGAGCCCTGTCACAGCCAAGGCCTCCCGCTGGAACTGTGTAGGTGAGGAACGCCTAAGCAGCCCCAGCCCTGGGCAGAAAGAAGGGGGGTTCTCATTTCCAATGGGTTTATCTTGCAAATAACAGAGGGGAAGGGAGACTTTCCTTACATTTCGGCTGGAGGGTTAGGAGATTAAAATGACACCGTGGATTAGAATGCTTTTGCTAACGGTGCTATTATCATTTTCCTGTATTCAGATTCATTTGAGCTATAAAAGCGGCGGTAATAAAATTTTCACTAACTCCTGGAATTTCTCCCACGAAGCTCCATTATGCTGTGTGGATGATGTTTGTCTCCCCCCCTCCGTGACCCCAGGGCGGGGCACCTGCTTGGCACAATTCTCCGGCCTTTCAGCTGGGACCTGAGACCCCTGGCCATGAAGGGACTCGGCAAAGCTCAGCTGTGGGGGTCAGCTGCCCGGACAGGCCTGCGCGGCCCCACGGAGACTCGGTCCACTGGCATCTGGCACTTCCCCAGGGGACCGTCTTACAGATTCCTCAGGTGAGCTCTCTCCAGCACGTGGGTACCACCATCAGCCCGTCTCTAAGCTCTAGAGACGGAGAAACATCCCACCGGCCCCGAGAAGCCAAGGTACGGATATTTTCAAGAACCCACAGCCTGCGGGTCCCCAGCGCCCCACGATGGCACCACCAGACACAGGGAACCGAGGTCTGTGCCAGGGCAGTGGACAAGTGGTCCCAAGCTCTGGGTACCATGCTCTCCCTTGCCTCTTGTTTCCCACTCTGAGAAAGGCCATCACCTAAAGGAGACTGTCCACTGTGTCTGAGGAAGCGAGGACAGAAGGGGACGGAAGACAGAAGAGGGGGGTCTGACTTAGCACCGGCATCGACGTCCTAATACGCACCAGAGAGCTCAGGCGCACGGCAGC